AATTTCAGAAAGGATCCTGAATTCAGAAAGATTAAAACGGGGGGCGGAGGGGAATCTTAAAACCAAGAAAATATAGTATGTAAGGCAGAAAGCAAGTTTACAACTTAAAATGAGAACCACAACTGCCTGGAAAGCCAGACAGTATCTACAGAGAGAGAAAATACGTTCTTTCCTGCAAATACGCTACACGGAAAGCCAGGTCATTAGAAGACTGCACGTGCACACTGGAATCAGAGTGCTGACTGCCTGCCGCAATCTACGTTCAACATTTGTGTGAGCGAGACACGATACATTCTCCCACAGACAGCACAGAAGTTGGGATCATTTGTCCTCATTTTCATTGCAAAACAAGCTGCCTTCCAATTGACTCAATCTTTCTTTAAATATGTTTAACAGAGTAATAATCACATCTTACTCTATCCATAAAGCCAGTCTTCTTTCTGATGATTTTGAAAAGCTCTTTGATTCACTACATGAGTTCAAAATTAACTCTCAAAAGACAAACTTATTTCAAGTTAACCTCTCTACGGGTACACATGCATACACACAGTATCAACTACAAATAAAACAAAGGTTTCTTAAATACAAATCGTACTGCCCTCAATCACAGAAGTCTAAAATAAAAACTGAACTTTATATGATGCAAAACATGCTATGATCCAATGAAGTTTAAAGACCAACACAATCAAGACTAAGAATTTGCTAACAGTATTCAATTTTCAGTTTGTTCTGAAACATTTTAGAAGATGAGGAGCAAAGAAATGAAGAGAGACTCTATGCTCATAAAATTTATATTAAATTCATAGACTACACAACAAATTACTAAGCCCATAAACTAAACAATGAAGCACATGAAGGAGGGAAAGTATATGAAATAGGTAGGCCCTGACTTAAGGGCAATCTACACAGATGAACACCCATCTTGGCATTCCGCATTTTTTCCATGCTGCCAAAATACCACCTGCAATAACCACTCATATCATTCTGAATAATTCCCTGCCATGATTGCCTTGGGCCTCCTACCTGAACCTTTGCTGAACCAGATGCCTAAACCCTGAAAGCTTCCACCTAGCCAGTCCATTTTCTTCTCCAGCTACCAGGACTTGGGTATTTGATATATTACAGATTTTTAAAAAATAAGAAAGCTGTTGTGGGATAGTCTGGAAACTAAACCAACATTTAGAATATCATTTCTGGGAGTACGAATTTGAAACTCCAAATCATCAACTTACATTCAAATTTCTGGAATTTATCCTATTCTGGAGTTTGACTATAAATATTCAGCCTGAAAACAAGCCCAAGTATTCTTCTTGCAACTGTGGATGTTTATGGATAGTTAAATTAATATATATTTAACATAAATTTCAAAATTTCAGATCTAGCTATTTTAGGAAAGGCTACAAAAGGTATAAATTTACAAGCACTGTGCTGAATATAATTCTCTTGTTTGAGTATTAACACGATTTAGAGGCCCAATCTCTCTAATGCTTATCTCTCTATGGCACTGACTTTTAGGAATTCAAATATTAGGTTGTGAGGAGTCCAGGTGACTAAAAAGATTCATTTCAGAGACTGTCTGACTCACCTTGTTCTAAACTTTATAGAAATCCTAGATGCCTTGCTTAGGTGTGAAAGAGGCCAATTTTTACACAGACTCATCACATGTGATAGATGAGATTTTGGGGACTGAAGGGTAGCAGAATATGCTACCCCAAAATATGCTTCTTTGGCATAAGCATTATTTTAAACGGATTAAGAAACAGCAGATACAGAAGCTCTGAAAACAAAAGTTACCCTTTACTGAGGGAAATTTTACATTTATAAAGGAAATCATTTGTAAGTGTCTCCCTCTCTGTATCAGGAACAGAAAGATGAGTCTAAATCACGGGAGAATATTACAAGAGAATCTTATCGATGGAAAAGGCACCAACTTAAATCTTCATAACAAATCCCTTGTTTACCATGACTTTCCTGGTAACCTTCCATTACTGCCTTTCCCCCTTCTTTGTCTTTTGCTGAAGAAGGTATTTAAGCCCAAATTCTAAACCACCTCGGAGATTTTCTCATTTTTCCCTGGGTATCTCCCACGCATACAGGAGGTACACATGTTAATAAACTTTTGCTTGTTTTTCTCTTGTTAATCTTTTATTACAGGGGTCTCAGCCAAGAACTCAGAAGGGTAGAGGGATTATTTTTTCTCCCCTGCAGGGCTCTGCCTTCAAAATAGAGTGGTGTTAGAATTCCCACAGCCTGTGGAATCCCCCACCTCTAACCTAAATAAGCCAATCAAAGCTCCTTCTCCTTTTACCCATAGTTGGCCACTGTCCAAGTTTTAAAACTTCAAAAACCATATATAATTTTTATGAAGCTGTTTTTGCTTCTTTTGAATGTTTATAGACAGTTAATATATTTTTAACAAATTCAAAAATTCCAGATGTACCTACCTTAAAGTAGACAGCCATTCTTAAAAATGGCTGCAACTTTATTTACTTTTTGTATTAAGTTTGCTAACCTCTGAATTGGAATACTGCCAAATATTTAAAACCTGAATACTTGGCTTACAGTATCCCCAAGCAGAAGGTAACATATTGGTTCTTTAAGATACCAAATCAGTGATCTAGTAGAAAACTTGAATGACCTGAGGATAGTTAAATCAGGAAATTAAAAACTGCCAAATATTCCCCCCCCCCCAGTGGTGTAGTGGTCGGGTGCGTGCTACGCTGCAGCGGCAGCCCAGGGTTTGCAGCTTCTGCAGCGGCAGCCCAGGGTTCGCAGCTTTGGATCCTGGGCGCACACTGACATACCGCTTGTCAAGCCATGCTGTGGCAGCGTCCCATATACAGTGGAGGAAGATGGGCGCAGATGTTGGCCCAGGGCCAATCTTCCTCTGCAAAGGGAGGAGGATTGGCATCGGATGTTAGCTCAGGGCTAATTTTCCTCACAAAAAAAAAAAAAAAACTGCCAAATATCAACACACAGAAAGACTGTATTCTAGATCTATTACACAAAAAGTAAATGTACAGAATACTAAGATTGTGTGCAAATATATTATATGGTCAAAAGAAATATATTTGTGCTTTTAAAATTCAAGGCCAAAAGCTTAAGATTTAAGGATATTTATTTTAAAGACACCTGTAATAAATATAATAATTATGGAGGGTAACAATAAGATAATGGGGTAAGTATGAGAAACAAGCCCAATAACTTTTACCTCAAATTTTGAACCTAAATGAGAATGCTTTTTAAGTAACTGAATTTCAACTAGATTGCAAAGTAGCCGATTTAATTTCATAATGCAAAAAGTTTGGATATAATCAATAGGTACATGTACTATTCAAAGGAATTGGTAAAAGCTACTTTATTTATTCACTGTAAAATGAATGGGAAAAAGTACTCTATGGTCACCACTGTAACAGTGTGGCTGAAACACTACCTTTTAGAGAGAGAGATTCCTAAACCAATTTGCAAAAAAGCTACTCAAAGTAACATGTTCATTTTAACATTAAATTCTAACCCTCCCAACATTTCTGTAATCTGGAGAAATCTCAGATTGTTGACTAAGTGCTACTACGCTGATTAGCCTTTGGCTGATCCTAGGCTGTAGGATCCATCTCTGTTTTATTCACTGCTATATTCCAAGTTCCTAACTCTTTACCTCAAACTTGATAGGTATGCAAAAGACATTTGTTGAATGAGGTCAGTCTTTCAGCTGGGTTCATTGTTTACTGGTACTCTTCCTACTCATTCTATTTCAAACCAAATTTAACAGTTGAAAAATCTGACATTTCTCACAGCCTTTTTTTTTTTAATTTTTTTTTATTATT